AAAAAAAGCCAAGATCTGGATGTAAAAATGTCGTTTTTGTTGTTGTTTGTTTTTTAGTTAGTTTTTTTAATTGTAATCCAAGCCTCTCTAGATGAGAGGTCTAAAAAATAATCTTATAAAGTTAAAGCTGCAGGGTTGTTTTTGGTTTTTTTTTGATCATAATTACTAAAGAAGGGCTAACAACAGAAGGTAGATAAGCCAGTAAATCTAGGGTCTATAGTGTCTGAAGTCCTCTTTATCAAAATTACCATAACAGAAATAAAGCAGGAAAAATAGACCCTCTGGACCCATCAAAAAAAACAAAAACACAAAACCCCTGCACACACATACACAAAACACAAAATAATTGAAAAACTGTTCAACCAAAAATTACCGCTGCACTGGCTGGACGGTGTGTAGAGGAAAGGAAAGCACTCCAAGGGTCCTGCCCCCTCTTTATTGCTTTTCAGTTAATCACACCAGACCAGCTACACCTGAGAGGAGAGCACAACGCACTGTGAGTCACAGATCATTTACACACCATAACCGGCACAAAGGGGGAGATAACATTGACATGACTTATCGCCTTCTCATTTGCATGTTACAGCGCCGTGTTCGTTAGGCATAAAATTCCTCATATAATTTTGTTAAATAAAAACCTTTTGATAATTAATTTTGAGGGGAAAAAACAGGATGGTGTTAATGGTTATTAAAATTACAGAATAAGTTTGTTAGGTGCTTAGCCTCTAGTCCTGCCCTGAGAAATGAGGTTTGCACAGAACACAACTGGCGGAGGATGATGACTAATATGAGCTATGATCAAAACAAGATTCACGTTAATCAAGCAAACTTCACCAATTCTCTGATAACATCAGATAACAAAACATGGGTTTTCTTTATAAATAGCTCACTCTCATAAATATCTCGATGTGGATTTGTAGGGAAGAGCTTAAGAATCCTTCTGTCCTCTGCTGAGAACAACTCCACACCACATAATTTTGTCCACAGCCCCGCCCAGTTTTAATAAATTCTGCCAAGTGGTCTTTGCCTAATCTTTCAGACAGACGGGTAAACAAATGACAATGGAAACTTTAATTTCCCTGAGGCTCAACCCGTTTTGACGATAAAGGCTTGTTTTATTTAAATCTATTTTAATTTTTATGTCA